TGACCACTTTTACCCACAATAGGACTCTTTCCTATCTCCTTACGCATGCAAGCCCTTTTATCTTCCACTAATTTAAACGCCTCTCCATCCACTGTGGACAACAATAACCATTTAAAATGAAATGGAAACCCAGGTGTTCTGGAAGTGCTAATGAAATCAAAGGAAAACAGTAAAAATGTGCCAGAACCATTAAATGATTGCATACTTGTAACGCCTCCTTTAAAATTAATTGAAATTTCACCACCTTTGTTGACCTTAAGATGGCATCAATTAAATCTCATACTTTCATGTTTCAATTAAATTAATCACCATTGATGAATTACGTGAACTGGAGTTTAGGAAGTGTGACCTGAATAAACATTTAATTCAGCAAATCTAGTGAATAAGGCTATGAAATAAATAGGCAAATTTGATGTTAGATTGAAGTGAGACAAAGAAGCACAAGAGACAGTAAGTTAGGAGTGAAAAGCTAGAAAATAGTGCCTGAGTTTGGCTCATTTTCTACCCTGCGGCTACTATGTAACCCCCCACCCCCCTATTTTTTCTACCACACTTACCTGCACCTAATGATCTGGAAGGTTTGTGTGCGCTTGCTGGCGATGTTATTAGCTTGATCTTCGTTCTTATCATCAGTATCGAAGTGCTAGTTGGTTGTAAGTGACATTCCATCAATGGCAGCTTTAAACGCGTTCCTATAGATGATCCCATTTGCCATTTGATCGTTTCTATATGTTTAGAGGAAAATGTTGTGGAACTCCATATAATGCATATTGCCCTCGTTCTTAGAACAGCGTGTCTACTACTTTTGATCTTATGCTAATTTGTATCTCTGTTCTCGGATTGTGGTAAAGAATATTTTACCCCATTATACTTTTTCAATTTCCTTGAACATTAGTGACGCATCACGACCAATCAGCTTATTTATTATATAGATTTCTATTGACTTGAATGCCTTACTTTTTATCGTCTCTCAGTTATGCGCTTGCGAAGCAACAAAACTTACAAGAATCAAAATTAGTTCTCGGGAAGTGTCAGAAAATTGTATATCCCTCATTATAGTTATAGCATAAATAAGTCATAAAATCGCTGTTTGGTTAAGTTGACCAATGGCAATTGAACACTCGGTTTAATACGGGAAACTCTGAGATGAAGACGTCATTATTGGTCCAGGCCATTGACTGAGGGCGAGTTGTGGCATTGCAAGCAGATTGGTGTTTGGAGAGGCTAGCAATGATTGAATGAACTGGCGCAGAGCATCATCGGCCTGTAGTGAGATTTTATAATCTCCAGACTTTGAGTTGTTTTCATAGTTTTGAGAGAGCGGATCACCAATAGGTACTGATGGGCTATGATTCGTTATGGGAGAAGTGACTGAGGGAGTACTTTCATTAGCTTGAGAAGCCTGTTGCTTAGCAATGGCTTCCATGTTGGCAAGAATAGATTCAGTTGCTGGATGAAAGGCCCAATAGGGATTGGTCTGGAGGATTTGTTTAACAGCCATGAAATTCCCTGTTTCTGCAAGAAGTTCTAAACCGACTGCAGTCTGTCGCTTCCATTTTGTCCTACAAATGAATTATAAACGCATAAGCCAAGTCAGCTTAATGTATTCAAAATCATTTATTTCCTTTTTTAGTGAAATCACCTTCTGTTTTGATACCAGGTCTTCACTTGAGTGTCATTCAACTTCAATCGATTGGCTAATTGGATTCGATCCTGCACACTAAGGTACTTTTGCGATTCAAAATTCCTCTCCAATTCGCTCAATTGTGAATCAGTAAATGCAGTTCTTGCCTTTCGTGGCTTCTTGCCAACTGTGTCTTGATGTAGCGAAGTGTCTTGGTTGGGGGTGGAACATTGTTGCTGACGATGGTGATGAGGTTCGATGAAGTGGCGATTGACGGCGGTTGTATTGACGTTATTATCTGTGGGATTTTTCAAAATTACTTTCCGTAGTTAGTTATTTAAGGAAAGGAGCATTGATATTTTAAACTCAATTAAATCGCTTAAGTCTACTCAAATTCGGCCACTGAGATTTGAAATGAATTGCACTTACATTTAGCAAGCCGATAATTAAAAATGGCCTGGAAGCAACCCATGTATTTTGAATTTTAAATGATTTCAATTTTAAAATTAATTCCAATTTTTTGTCTGCTTGAAGCTCGCAGTGATTTAATGATAATTTATTGGCCAACTAAGGTGTGAATGTGGTAGGTTTCGTTGAATTTATTAATTGCTTGACATTGTATGATCTGATCACACTTTAAGAGTACCAATAAGAAAAGCTCACATTTTGCGAGCAGATGTTTGGCTACAATTTATGCTCTAACATTGATCGAGTGCTTTTTCTTATTGGACAAGTTTTTCAAGAAGATTTCATTTTCTTGCCGGGGTTAAAAGCATACAGATAACGAGGAAGACATCGTTTGGTCTTTTGCATAATTCCGGGCTGAGACAACTGTAAAGCTACCAGAGCCGTTGTTAAAGGCTACGGACAAGTGTGTACAGTGTCATGATGCATATTTCGAGCAAAAATGTTTTAAATCTGACAATAGCGATTGACACAATGTTCTAAAAGCGAGGGCGATTAATAAATATTGTTGATACTTGTTTTAGAATCCCTGTGAGATGAGTGATGAATCAGAAGGGTTGCCTTGCCGTCAACATGGCAAAGAAATCAACCTTTTCTAGACCAAATTTTTAGTGGAAAAACTGTGGTTGTCACCAAGTCAAACGCCCATTCCATGCTCTTACATGATTTAGAGTTAACTCATCTGGAAATCGTTCAGCAAATTGGAATTTTTCATTACGAACTGCAAAACCAGACAAAACAGTTCTATCTGGAGTTTATTGATGCCAAAAAAATTGTTATGAAAAAAGTAGGAATTAAAATATAATTGTCTAACTTTGGTTAACAGAAAATTGATAATTCGCCAGTAATGACAGCGCCCAGAGGTCGCCTCACAAGGCGAGAATGAACAGCGAAAACATTCTGAAATGAAATAAGGAGACTCTAGCACATCCTTCATATTCGCCAGATCTCGTCCTGATAACATTATTACACTTCCAGTTGTGTGGAGCACACTCTGAGAGCAAAACGATTTTCGAATTCGGATGGATTGGATGGAAAAAAAGTTTACTAAAACATGTTAATACTGTTTTTTGTTATTTACGATTTCGTTCTGTTACCCTCCCCCTCCCTTATATTTCCATTAAAGAAATTCATTGGTAATTGTATTAGTGAAGTTGTAATTTCCTTTGGGCATTTGCGTATCTATTCCCCTTAAAGATGATATGTCAAAATCTTTTGCATTCGCTAAGGTGACCTCAACTGCATTAAGCTACATATCGCCAATTATTTTATTTTATTGGTGTTAATTGCCCATTGTTTTGAACTTTCACGCTCTGCATGTTACATCTTAACCCTTCATTTTCTCCAACAACGTTGTCACTTATAAAACATTACATTTTTTAAGAAGATGATAGCAATCCTCGCTGAAGTAGAGGTGTAACTGAAAAATGTATTTTGAAAGCCTTTATCAGGAGAAATCGATGAATTTTGAATAGTCGAGGAACAGACAAGCATGAAAAGAAGCCTTCAGGACAAAGCTTTATGCACTCGAAACAGCAAAAATTGTTTTCGGGTCACTAAGGACCATTATGACTTGTAGAAGGAAGAATTGTACACAATGATCCTTTGAAAGAGAGTAAGTGACCCCTTCGAGTAATAACAGTTACTTCCAACTTCCTTCAAGCGCTCTCTTGAAGTCCCATGACTAAGAAAAAATCATTTCAACTATTTCTTCCTAAACCGCCCTTTAACTGCTCCCTACCATTAAGCCAATGATTCAAATTAAGACCTAACAAGATGCATGCAGCTGCCTTGAGCCAAAGTTAGCTGCATTAAGATAATGGAGAAAAAGTCAAAAGTCTGTCGTTATAACGTATGATTTATCTAAGGCCACCTGAGGACAGAAAATTGCGTGAAAGAATAAATGCATTTCATTCATGCGGTAGTT